GACTGCCGGTTTGAAAGATGAGCTTTTGTTCAAGAGTTTTACGGCTTTCCGTGCTACCTAAGTGTAAGGAAAGACCGCAGATTGCCATATGTTGCTTAGAATGATTAGGTAAATTAAAATGTCTAGCGACTGGTTTCGATGTGTCCTTGTCATTCCTTTCCACGTCTCGAAGGTGTTCTCGGAATCGGTCACCTAGTCTTCTGCCTGTTTCGCCGATGTATATCTTTTTGCAATAAGTGCAAGTTATGCAATAGATTACATTGGCGGAGGTGCACGTGAAGTGATCGGTGATCTTAATGGATCGTTTCGCTCCGACGAAGGGCTAACGCTCGAAACGTCAGCTTTTGTAATCATTACGGTGGCTAATTTACCATTTCAACTTTGTTGATATATCTAAATTAAAACTGATCAAACATAATGGGTGAGTTACCTTACGAAAATTTCCACATAATCTGTGTCGCAGTCAGGTAGATTGCCAGCGATCTCGAAGTCATACCACGATAGTTCCAACACATTGGGAGCAATGCCTGCCTGAAATTTAGCTTGGAAAGTGCATTCCAGATTGTTTTTATATTTACCCTGTTGGTCTTGAGGTAAAGTAATAACTTCACCCCAGGGTAAAGTTCCACCGCATGTACAACTCACTGACTGACATTGCAGAAAACAAGCTATTGTAATAACGTGGGCTAAACTTTTCAAAAACTTCAACATATTGCAGGTGAGGTCCCTTTACCAACAAGAAATGGTTGAGCAGAGACTGGTGCAAACTACGATTCAAAATGGCGGATTGTGCAGCAGAAAGTATCCTTGCCAAAGTATCAGCAATTTTGTCGCCAGTTGGTTTGGAATCGTATCCTTTCAAGGTAGAGTTCTCTTTGTGGGTAATAACACTGTATTTAGGAGAGAGTAGTTCGAGTGATTAGTATCAACTGACAGGTTGTTGATGACAATGTTCTGTGCGGTGTGGCTTGATATGCTCTGTCCTCTCTTGAGAGAAATCGTCAGCGCGATCCTAGACTTCTCCTCCAACAACTAAGGAAAGTGCTCATTTACGCCACCTACTTCACGTTTTAAGTGGTTTTATGGTTAAGAAAACAATTTATAATACCATTTGCTGTATGTTTACGTTTACACTTTAATCCTTGCATTTCGTTATCTATATCGCACGTGCATCTTTCAGTTCACTTTGAACCGGAATCTTTTGACCTTTATCGCTCAATTTAATTTGATTGTTGGCAAATTGGAAAGATAAGAAAAGTAAATGCTAGTTAGCAGCTGCTTTGGATTACTTTAAATTAGCTGAAGTCCTAAAACTGATCGTAAAATCTCGAGCTGTGGAATTCAGTCGCACTTTGTTTGACTATTTTCAAGTGAAGGTAACCGGTTTGTTATGAATGGTTTTGCACGAGTTGTTATTTTACAAGAGTGAGTTAAGTGTTGAAAACGTTAAAAGCGATGGACGATCGCTGGTATTACCCAATTCTGTTTTATCGGGGTTAAAATGTGCTTTTAAAATCAACACGTAAGAAAGTTTCTGATTACAGCCGCCATCCCTATTTATCTTTGAGTTCAGCTAGGTCGATTTTGTGCAAGATATTGTTGCCTTGTGATGGGCAGATACCTCCCGGGAGGTAAATAGTATCTCAGGATAGGATAAAAGGCTTTGAACAGCTGTGAGGGTTTATGATAAACATTTAATTATAATATTTGGCTTATAGCCTCCATTCTTTGCCCAGAGGTCCAAATAGTTCTCTGCTCATTGGAATACATTGACAGGTGATAAAAATAAAGAAAATCACTAACTGAGAGGTATCATATCGATATAAACCCAAATTCTTGCTACTGATATCCACACAATTAACAGATGCAAGGAGAATTTCTTATCAAGGGTTGACTCATTCAGCAATACCTTTCACAGATTGGCTGGTACAATGATCAACTGGAACACAAAGCATTCAACCTACCCTACCCCTATGACACCCTTGCTCTGGTGATCATAAGCACCCCACTGATGTTCGACCATGGCTTTAAACCATTCATCAAGGCAACAGCTTGTATTGGAGAGAAGGATCCACTTGATGAATTCATGGCTGCTATGTTTGCAAAAGTCAAGGCAGAATTTGGTCTCGAGTGTGACATTGAAGCCATCCATGATTTTGAGATGCTTCCCAACCGCAGACCCAAGGTGTTAGTCCAGACAGCTGCACATGTGGCGGGCGGGGCCTATTACTACCAGCGTAACAGTGTGACTAAAGATGCTTGGGATGCCAAGAAAAAGATTTGTGGAGTTTGTGTTCATGCTAAGTATGGGGGCTGGTTTGCAATACGGGGCGTGCTCATTTTCAAGAATGTCTTGGTGCCTGATTTGCAAAGAGAGGAACCTAAAGATGTTGTGCAAGGAGATGAGAAGCGTATTGAGCTTCTGGAGAAGTTCAACTTTCACTGGCAGGATTGGAGTTTCAGGGATGTTGTTCCCTCCGAGGTGAAATATTCTGAAGAGCAAAAGAAGTACTTTGCAACATTACCAGCCAATCGGAAAGAACTTTTAGATTCATTTCGGAACACAGCTCTTTTGCCAACAGAATGAAAGTTATGGTCTTAACATATGTCTTAATGGACACGGAGAATGTAAATACTCAATAATTAAAAACTTGAATTCATCATAGCAGTTAAGGCAAGTTCTTGGTTTTTTACGGGAACACACCAATTGCTCTTTGATATTCATCCATTTTTAGCATTCTGTAGAAGCGGATGTATGAATTATATAATAATAAATTCTGTAACTTTCTTGTTTTTACTAAGGCAGATAAATTATATCAAAGATGAGGTGCAAAATATTTTAAAAACTGAGGAAGTTTTTTTTTTTTTTAGGGAGAATAGCTTAACACACTCAAAAATATGTTAAATGTCATGGTTGGGAGAATGAAAACAAAATTTTGGTGTAGTTATTGACCACTTTCAAAAATGGCTGCCGGATTAATATTCTTTTGTTTAAATTTAAATTAGCCTTTCTGGCCTCGCTTGAGATAATGTATTCTTTTGAATTTTGTACTCGAGAACAAGGCCAGAAAGGCTAATTTAAATTTAAACAAAAGAATTTTAATCTGGCAGCCATTAATGAAAGTGGTCTATAAGCTGTGATTAGTTTGGCCACTGGCTAATTTAGCTGCTGTTAAGTTAGATTGCTTTATTCGTTAATTTTAATTTTTATCAACATGTGTTTGCATTGATCAATGTGGGAGTAGTTACAATTGTCTACAGATTTGTAGTGCAAAGCTGGAAAAATTCTGGAACATAAATGCATAAGAAGAGAAGAGATTTTTGAATTTTTTTATTACAATAAATCAAGAGGTTGGAAAAGGAACCAACCATAAAATTAACCTTCCCTCCTAACCTTGAAATATGATTAACAGAAATTGAATATCCCTTTCACTCCTATGCAGGGCTGTAGTCTAGCCGCACCAGGTGGCCCTTGGTGCTGATGGAGCATTTTCAGTCAGCACCAGGTGGCCCCTGGCACCTTACTTTTGCTCTTAGGTGACTCAGGAATCTTATTTTTTTCATAAAAAGCATATGCCTGGATTTCACAGTTTCAGAGCACTGGGCTCCCTTCAAATTTTCCAAGAGCACATCCTTGCTATGATCTCCTTAGTAACTCTCCTCACTGCCTGCTATACAATTCCTTTCATTGTACTTTGGAGAATTTTGAATTGGATCAACTCAATCCCCCAGTTGATATTTTCCTTTATTCTGATCACTTTTCTGCTTGATATTGTATTAATATTGTAAGGAGAAATTCTGTCTTGGTCACTTATGGGTGTTAAAGGGATGTAAAAAAAAAAAAAACTGTTGGCTATGTTGAGGAGTCTACATGGAACTGATTTCTAATAGGATATGATTAATAAAGAAAAGAACTTTGACACTGAAATTGAGTAATTTATTATTTCCTGTCCACATCTGGTGCACAATGCACTCACAAAATTCTTTGAAGGTAACAGTACTTTTTACTGTCAAGTACCACCCTTGAAAAAATATTAAAAAAATAAAGTTGATTGTACTGCTCTTGTTGTTGCAAAATTGCTATGCTTGTTGCAGTTTTGTTTTTTCCCTACTGTTGATTGCACAGAAAATTTAAGTATCAGGTTTATAATTTCCTTCTACCCGGATCAGTTGTTAATTCAAGTTTTCTTTCGTTCAGTTTTTACCATAGGTGTAGATAATTCAAGACAACACAAAATATCACAAATGGTGGAAATGTTTGTATTTGGAGCTTGTTGAGCCCGAGGTTGTCAACAACCATGAGATGATCGTAATTAAAGCGTTTATATTATTCTACAACTACGCATCAGAAAATCTCTCTGCAAATTATCCCCAACATTCTCCATATTCATTCATTTCCTCAGCTGCTGACAAGGACAATTTGTCAAACAATCAAGAACTTCTTAAGTTTATGATCATTTCCTTTATTCTTGTGACCTGAATGAATGACTCAGGGGTGATATTGTAAAGAGAAATTAGCTGCTGGTCACCCTTAGTTTTAAAGGGTTTAAAAATGTATCAATTCCTTAGGCATTCAAGAAAAAAAAATTGAGTTAATTGAAACAAAATAAGTGAACCCTTACATACATGTAAGGCATCGACTTAAAAAAATTCAGATACTTATCAAAATTTGTGAAAACTAATTAAAATTCATCTCCAGAGTTCATACAAGGGAAAATTTCATATGGTTGGATTTGTTAAGTAAGTGAGAATGCACTATTTTGTAATACCATGACCTTCGAGAGATTCTTGATCTGCAACATTAAATACAGTGTCTCCAAAACAGCTTGCCTCTAATTATACGTACTGGTACTAAAAGTTAAACCTCGAATCTGGTCAAGACTAAAAAATCACCTCCATCACCAACATGCATCATGATGCACTGTGATCTATTTCTTCTATGTGATCCTTGTCATTATTTCATGTATATTAATTAAGTAACATTTAAGTAGATAAGAATTGACAACATATTTTCAATATGGTGTCATTGTTGACATCTGTAACCAAACTTCATTCATTCTTCTGTAACTTGATTGTTGAAAAAAGAATTGTAACTGTTGTAATTGTGGAAATAAATAAAATAAATTAAAAAAATTAAATTTTTTTCAAAAAGGGCAAGATGTAAATAACTAACACTGTAAATAAAAAACATTTTAAGCTCAATTTTCATTCACCCTCCGACATCACTTAATGATTAAAAAACACAACAGGCAAATTAAACAGTGACAATTCTTACAATTCCTCTATTGATGGCTAAAACATTGGGTTTATAAAGATTTTAATCACTTTTTTCCTCCACCGGGGTAACATTTTTATATTTATCAACTCTCCAATATTACTTATATTGCTCACGAGCAAAACCAAAAATTGTACACACCGAAATACTTTGCTTTCTCGTCCCACAATACACTATAACTACAATAAATAATTATTCTAAGAGCACACCTCGCCACCAAATTTTAAAATTGAGAAAAAGAGGGCAATTGTACCCAATAACCTAATTATCCATGTCTACGCAGTGACAAATTAATCTGTCCTCTCCAGCAGTGTGTACCTTCTTGGGGAACATTTACGTCTTCTCCTGGTGCATACCCTCTGTTATGTTATGACAGTTGGTTCATTTCGGCCAGTAAACTCTTGTAGCTTGGAGACTTTGAGAGCTATGTCTAGTAGAGGTTTGAGAACAATCTGCAAACAGAATGAATTCAGCAACAAAGATTTAATTTCTTGAGCTGCTTAACAGTGTTATGCATATTCTCCATACTGTTCTTTATACATTTCCTAAGGTGCTAACAGGGAGAATATTTCTCACAATCAAGAGCTTCTCTAGCTGCTGATCATTTCCTGTATTCTCGTGACCTTAATGTGATTCAGAGGTGATATTGTAAGGAGAAATTAGATGCTGGTCACTCTTCAGTGTCCAAGGATAAAATGCTACCCAAGGGTAAGATGCTACCCCAAGGGTAAAATACTACCCCAAGGGTAAAATACTACCCCAAGGGTAAAATGCTACCCCAAGGGTAAAATGCTACCCCAAGGGTAAAATACTACCCAAAGGGTAAAATACTACCCCAAGGGTAAAATGCTACCCCTGTGGTTAGAACAGTTAATATGTATTAGGGTTTAGGGAGTTTAAGGCTTCAGGCATTCCCAACGCCTCAGTTTACTAACTCCATCAAATAAGCAAATAAGAAAAAAATTGGCAAGTAAACATAAGGTGAAAAACCAGTTGAGCAAGGTGTATAAAATTTTGGTGAAACTCCTTAGCTTTATCAGTGTTGGCCATCTTTCCTCTTTGATTAAAAAAGGTGAGTTTCCAAAGAAACTGTCAGTGGTGATGCATCAGAGGGGGGGAGTAACAAGATAATTTGGTTTTATCATCAGAGTTTATGCAACCGCCACATGGCTGTATTTGTTTCTTTTGTTTGTTTTCTCATTTGTACCGTCTTCTCCATTTTTTATTTTTGTGTTCCTAGCCATCCTAGTCATACAACATTTCTACTGCTCGCTTTGCATAGCTTTTCAGTTAAATCGTACATTTTGTGAAATCAATTAAATGACATGTAGCACGTTGGACATTTGACTACAATAATGTAATTTAAATTGACCACCATAATGAGTGTCCAAAGCTGATGTTTCAAGTATTCGCCCTTCATCTCTCTTCTCAACTCGTTTGATACCAGTTTTCATTTAACACTGACTCTAAGTATGACATGTAAATGTGATAAAAATCCATACCTGAGCATCAAGTAAATGCTTTGATTCATCTGGTTCATAACTTTCTACGTAAACACGGATTGTTGCACCAGCACTTCCTGTTCCACTCAAACGGAAGATGACACGGGATCCATCAGTGAAAATCATACGCACACCCTAGAATCATAACACACTCTCATCACTATCACTTCAGCAACAAATGATTATTTTAAGCCTTCAACTCCCACAAGTGATTAGCATGTAACTTCTCCCTGCCATATCTATACATTGTTCAGCAAACAGGTAATGAGAATACTCAAACTTATCGGGTAGAAATTTATTATCTTGATCTAACATCAAATTCTTTTAACTAATTTACACCAGCTAGATGGGAGAATTAACAGTCAGTTCCAGGGAGATAAGGGTGAAAAGGCAATGAAATAGAAGTTAGTACACTTCACTGCAGACCTCTATTCCCTGAGCTATTGTGACAGACCTGGTCCATGAACTACACAAATGGACCCAAGATGTAATACAGGAATGATGGGTTAAAAATCAAGGGGGTCATGGGGGTCTAAGTTTTAATTTTTGGCAACAATGGGGGAGGATCCTGGCTACAGCCCCCCCTCACTACTGGCTCCACAGTTTCTTTAACACTCTTAGACTACAGTGCCATAGACAACATACAATTACCAGTTATCTGGGAGTGTGATAACAAAAATTTCTTAGAATACCAACTAAAAAATCTAATACATTCAAAAACATTTATTATTGTTGTTTTTGTACCCAGTTTTTTAATTACATATTCAAGCTAATAGAAGATGGTACATTAGAGTTTGGTAATGAATAACAAAATATGTCAATTGTCTTGCCATGAGTGAAAGGTACATGTACATGTACATGTATGTTAAGTCTGTACTTGAGGCAAGTAGCCCATCCAGCTGGAATTTTTCCCCCTTTCCATAGCATGAAGCAGCTAGGAGTATTACTACTTCCCCCTGGATGGGATGCCAGCCCATCAAAAAGGTTACCCCCCAGCGTTTCATCCAGCTTCCCTGACAACTTGCCGGTACCCATTCATACTCTGAGGCACTGTGAGAGTAAAGTGTTTTGCTAAAGAACACAACACAATATAACTAGTCTCCAGTGCACCAACCAATGGGACAGTGCATCTCCCACTGTCAGTGTGGGACAAGACAG